ATATGGTGTGTTTTAGACATGACAACCTTATGGTGAATCTTTTTTTTCCCAATGGAAAATAAGCTGTAACACTATTGGCTAGATGCATGGTAGTCAGATGGAGTTTGGCCAGATGTAGCAAATACTGACTGTAACAACACTGTGAGGCTTAAAAATCATATTACTATTATTCAACCCTCTGTATTGTCAAAGCTGAATTGGGATTATTTTAACGTTTAAGAGTTATTTTTGTTCTAAAAATCACTGAAACTTACTCATAAAAGTTAAAAACTGTTTGTTTCTTACCTAAACAAAGGTATACAAATATAGTTACATATACATTTTAATCAAGTAACACTAAATATAAAATAAATCTATAATTGCTCCACATTTTTAAAAAAGTAAACTTAGATTCCCAGAACAAATGACATGCTTATCATTGGAAAACTATTTCAGACTAAGACATTGTAGTAGCTTCAACTTTTTTCTAAAAGTATCAATTCCTTATGTTTCTGGTCATTTATTGTTGTCTGTGTTCTTCTATGATGTAAATGACTACATAGTTATAATAAATCTTCCTTAATATTTTTCTAATCTTTTATATATATATATCCCTTCCAAATCTTCCGTGAAAATTAATGGGAACAACCACACACCTTATTTTAAACAACTATTTGCATACGTTTGTTAATTTCCAAGTGAATCCACTAGAGCAGCAGACCTGCTGCAGTCTTAATTTGTGGTCTATGGGCTCCCTTCACGTGGTCTGTGGAACGGTTGCATAATTATAAACAAGAAGCGGCAGCATTGTGTGTAGATCTTATTGTGATTTACTAAGATAAATAAAAAAAGAATTCAGATGGTCCGTAAACAAAAGGTTTGAGAACCACTGCATTAATTAAGGTGCCAAGCACAAAAGGTTTGAGAACCAATGCATTAATTAAGGTGCCAAGCACAAAAGGTTTGAGAACCAATGCATTAATTGAGATGCCAAGCACAAAAGGTTTGAGAACTACTGCATTAATTAAGGTGCCCAGCACAAAAGGTTTGAGAACCACTGCTTTAATTAAGGTGCCAAGCACAAAAGGTTTGAGAACCACTGTATTAATTAAGGTGCCAAGCACAAAAGGTTTGAGAACCACTGCTATTAATTAAGGTGCCAAGCACAAAAGGTTTGAGAACCAATGTATTAATTAAGGTGCCAAGCACAAAAGGTTTGAGAACCAATGCATTAATTAAGGTGCCCAGAACAAAAGGTTTGAGAACCAATGCATTAATTAAGGTGCCCAGTACAAAAGTTTTTTAAATCTAAACAGATATTTATTTTGAACCATCTCTTACATGTGCATGCAAACTTTCTCGTATACAAGTGTAGCCAATCCTGAGAATCCCAATAAATTCCCTTGAACCCCATTTGGTGATTTGAATACGAGAATTTCAAAACTCTTAAACAAAAAACTTGGATAGCTATGCCTGCTTTCATGTAAATCCATGGAAGCTCCTAAGATCCTTTTTGTTTTCCATATGTGGCTCAAATTTAACATCTGAATCTAGATTGCTGTTTTGGGGTTAATCCTTACAAATTAACACAAACTTTCAAATAAATATATTTGGTTAAACTCGAGAGCTCCAGAAAAGCTCTCAACTCCGTTTGGTTAAACTCGAGAACTCCAGAAAAGCTCTCAACTCCGTTTGGTTAAACTAGAGAGCTCCAGAAAAGCTCTCAACTTCGTTTGGTTAAACTCGAGAGCTCCAGAAAAGCTCTCAACTTCGTTTGGTTAAACTCGAGAGCTCCAGAAAAGCTCTCAACTGTGTTTGATTAAACTCGAGAGCTCCAGAAAAGCTCTCAACTCTGTTTGATTAAACTCGAGAGCTCCAGGAAAGCTCTCAACTCTGTTTGGTTAAATTCAAAAGCTCCAGAAAAACTAATGACTTTGTTTGGTTAAACTTGAGAGCACCTAAAAAAAAAAAAAAACTCTCGAATCTCCATCACCAGCAATAAGTGTTACCTTTAAAAAAATAAATAAACGTCCTTAGAAAACAAGTCTAAAGAAAGACAACAATTTCACTGGGTGACTTTTGTAAAGACTGACTACATTATAACAATTTGTATCAGTTTAGCAACATGTATATTTTTTTTCTCAATTTTTTGGGGAAAATTATTGGTACGAGTGTTACATTACCTTTGGTGGTTCATTAGACAAGTGGAAATTAACATTTGGCATTGAACTTCTCCAGTGAGGACCGTAAGAGGCATAGCGAAAGCCTCCACGAATATCAGAAATAGGTGTGCTGCAGGACACACTGTTGTCATTGTGATTCTAGAAAATAAAAACAAAACAATGATTTTTGTTTATATTTTTTGTTCAAACTCAATAAAACATATACTCACACACACATATATTGTAGATATCCTCCTGTCAGTTTCTTTTATATTTAAAACGTTCTCCTATATCATTTAATATATCTTGGAAATCTTAAATGCAAAACTCACCAAAGCTTGTTCATCCTGTTCAGAAGTACCTGAAACTATTGAAAAAAAAATGAAAATAAATGGAGATTTTTGATAACTTTTGTGATTTCATGTTTATATAAAATACATGGAATAAATACAAAATGTAACTTCAACAATCCACCACAAGGAGGAGCCACTTTCTCAATACATTTTAGATTAATACCTAGCTATAATTTAGTAAAAATGTCTCGTTAAAAATAATCATAATATTCTTTTAAAATAATAAATTATTAGCTTTTGTTTTACAAGTGCTGGTTTAGAAATATAAATATATAGAAGATTCATTAAAAATACATTGCAGGCTTCTCCGAAGTCATTCCTGATTGAAATAAAAATCTAAACAATCCAAAACTCGTTGTATGTGAACAGTTATTCTCAATGGCTAACCTATATTTCCAACATTTACACATCAAAAAATAAATGTCCAATTTAACATATTTCCAAAAAAAATGCAACATTTACTTAGCCCTTGATAAGATTGAAAGTTTTTAAAGTTAAATCATTTTTTTAACTTACTCTTAAAAGCCTAGTATTTTTGTATATTCTGGAAACAAAAATACATGATAATAGTTATTTCTCACAACTACAGAAAAACTTACCATCTGATCTTGCACTACTGAAGTCTGCATTTTGCATGTTCATCAATTTACCAAAGGTTATATCTTCAGTCTGAAAAGGAAATTCATATTAAAAACTCAGTTATTACCTGTTAATAACCTGCAGTCTTTTGGTTAACCTGAACTAGAAATATAGGAGAGTGCAAAAAAAAAAAGGTGGGATGATGCTTTGATATTTCCAAGTCCTGCACTTAATGTGGTTTTTCCAAGTCATGTTTATGTTTCACTGTTCTTTCTAAACAAGTTAGTATATCAAATGTCATTATTTTTTTACTTTGATTTATTGTCTGATAATATACTTCTTACAATAAAGATGGTACAATGTGTGAATTTATTAGCATACATCAACCAGAGTTGGCTGGCTTAATTACCATAATTTTGGGTATGTCAACTGTAAAATGACTGAGGTGTACAAGGGCTCTTTTGTTTTGGGATTTTTGCCCAAAAATGGCAGCAAAATAGCTATATAAGTTACTAATCATGGTATACAGACTGTCGGCTAAACATTTAAAGGCACAAATACTTAATCAGTTAAGTGAATCAATTATTACCTTCCACAAAGCAGGGTACATAATTAGCATCTAATGAGGACTGTATTTAGGATTCACTTAAATCTCCTAAGCTAGGTAAATTTTGCAATATATCACTGGGATTACGGCAGAAAATATCATTAAAAGCTAGGGTATCAAACTGACGAAACAACACATTTTAATCTTTGTAAGTAGAAATGTATATTTAGCTAGCCATACTCATTACCAGATTTTTTTTTAGTTTTGCTCTAAGTAGATAGCTTACTATGAACGGAAGTTATTATTCTTTTGTTAAAATAATTGGTTAGGATGTCATTAACCTTGCAATAAATACGTATTGCAGTGCGGAAGAGATTATGTTGTGACACTGTATTATATCACAAGTAAACAGAAATGGTAAGATTTATAAAAATTATGAGTAATTTCATCTTTCATCATATGTTCCCGAACCTTACTAGAACAACCGATAAACTAACACCAAACAGAACATATTAAAACTTTCAACTTTAAATCGCTCAGAGGAACCAAGAAACTGCCTAAATTTTATTAAATGTGAACTCTTGTATAATGTTTTTATAATAATTTCAAAATGTTTTGACTGCCTTTTTGCATATTTTTATGATTTATTTATGTAATCATGTTCATTACAGTGATACTTTGCTTATGCTTTGGACTTATGTCTAGTTAGTTATGCTAACATTGTAATGTTTCACACACACAAAAGTAGTGCACAAACATGCTGAATTTGGACTTATGTCTAGTTAGTTATGCTAACATTGTAATGTTTCACACACACAAAAGTAGTGCACAAACATGCTGAAATATTTTACCATACACATTTCCAATAATATCAAAATTGAAAATTTATCCAAAAGCTATCTGATAATTCTAATTCTTCTCATTATTTTCCAAAAAAAAAAAACATTTCTACACGATATTGTCTTTTACGAGTCTCGTGTTTGATAAATTAGGACTTTCTGTACCACCTTTACCAAAAAAAAATGACTATCTTACACTGATAGTTGTACAATAAAACATTTTTTTTAAAATAAGTTGCTTTTGGGGAACACTAAACTTGAAAATAGTAAAGCAAAACAATTTCAAACTTTATCCAGCTCCAAAATAAGGATTGTTTTTTTTTTTACACCTAAACTTTGTGCAGCTCCAAAATAAGGATTGTTTTTTTTTACACCTAAACTTTGTGCAGCTCCAAAATAAGGATTGTTTTTTTTTTTACACCTACCAAACATATACTCGTTTAAATCCAGAATTTTAAAAGAAAAGTAAGTTCTTTTTAGTGCTTATAAGATCTACTGAAGCTCTCTTAAAACATTAAATGTTAATAGGAAAACATGAAAGTTAGGGTTACAAGCAGAACAAAAATAATGTTCAATATACAACTCTCATCTAACATTTCAAAATACATGAAGTACAGCAACTTCAAAGTATAATAAAATGTTTGGAACATTCATAAACTATTAATTATTACTATAATTATTATCCGTGTGTAATAAAAGATATGGTTACATAATACTGTCAAAATAAAGTTAATTATAAACTGTTTTTCTAAGAAGTTTTGATTACAAATGAAGATTTGCCATTTAGCTTTGAATTTAAAGACACAAGTACTTAATCAGTTAAATGTATCAATTTTTACTTTACACAGAGCATCTAATGAGGTCATTATGGACTTAATAACATATGAAAGAAAGAAGAGGAACATAGCTAACATTGTGCTTTGGAATATTTATAAACTATTAATAACCAGTATAATTATCATCCATGTGTAATAAAAAAAATGCTTATATATATATAATATTGCCAAGCTAAAGTTAACTCCAATTTAGATACCATTCTTCCAAGAAGTTCTGATTAAAAATCAAGATGGTTACTACTGGAACAAAGTACTTACCCCATAATCTCGGCCACCAACAGGAAGAGTAGCAGACTTAGTTGCAAACCCATAACCAGGTTTAGGTGCTGACCGAAGTGAGGACACCACTGTAAGTAAAAAAAAACAAAAAACGTCAAAACCAACAACTAATATTTTAATGCGTTTTCAAAACAAGAACATTTATTTCAGTAACTAATAATATAGTTATGTAATCACAATGAAACACTGTCTAATCAGAAGAACATCAGCAACAAAATCAAAACCTGTATTTTTAAAAATAGTCAAGTACCACTGGTCAATTTTTCAGGAAAGTAAAAACAAACTTCATGATAATTAATTGAAGATACAGACACAAAACTTAAAAAATTTTTTCAACAAAACTAATATTAAATAGGTGTTTCATCTACGTGTTTTAATAAATGTAATCAGTGAGAGTTTGAATGTTAATACAAACCTTATAAAAAATTTTGTGCATTCTATAAAAACAATGTTTTTTGGAATAGCTCACAGTATTAAAAATTTGTGTCTATGAAACTTCCGTCAAAATAATTAATGAAAATAAAAATATTAGTAAATGTGAGAAGTGTAAAAATTATTTTATTAATAGTAATTCTCCATGATAAACAAGTCTAGAGAATTGTTACTAATATTGAGATATGAAGTTCAAAAACTTTCTAAGTGTTTTTTTTTTTTCACTTGGCCCGTTATATTAAAAATGCCTGTTTAACATCCACAAAATTCAAATACAGTAGTTATTGTTGAAAGAATGCTTTAAACTTTATGCATGGTATTTTAAAGTTTAACTATTACCTCTGCCACCACAGGTGGTCAGAAGTTATGTTTTCACCCCTGTGAGTGTGTGTGTGTGTGTGTGTGTGTGTGTGTGTGTGTGTGTGTTGTTCGTAGTAGTATT